AATTCTAGCAACTTGGGAGGCTGAGGCAGGAGGATCTTAGTTCAAGGTCAGCCTCAACAACTTAGTGAGACCCTTAGCAACTTAGCAAGTCCATCTCTCAAAATAAAAAACAAAAAGGACTAAACTGGGGTGACAGCCCCTGGATTCAACCCCCAGTATTAAAAAAAGTTTATCATATTCTGGGAAAAGGATTTATAGATTCAGGTGAAAAGAAGAAATTATAAGGTGAATTACAAAATATTTTAAAGTAAATGAAAATGAAAAACTATGTATCAGTACTGGGGATGTGCAGCCTGTAAGAGATTGATAGCTACATTCTCACATAAAGTGCTTCAAACAACACCCAATTAGGAATGAGAGTTCAAACTCAAAGTTGCTAGGACTTTTCTCAAATTTCTGTGCTGATGTAGGCCTCAGTTTCTAGACTAAACTCAGCAGATTGGCCCATGAAAATTTCTATATTGAAACAGAGGAAAGGATCCATCAAAAACTAAACCTCTATTATCCTGGGCTTGGCAGCAAAAAGAGGATAGTAGGGGAAATTCTGCAATCTGAAAAGCAAACTGAAAGGTGACAATATGGAAGCCTATAAAACCAAAGATTCACTTTGGCTTTCACCAATTCTTATTTTTTTAAAAAACATTTATTTTTTAGTTGTAGTTGGACACAACACCTTTATTTCACTTGTTTATTTTTGTATGTGGTGCTGAGGATCGAACCCAGGGTCTCGCACATTCGAGGTGAGTGTTCTACTGCTGAGCTACAACCCCAGCCCTCACCAATTCTTAAAACCAATAAAATACAAAAAGTGTTTGGTGCCAGTGGTCTTGGGTTTTTTTGGTCATGAGTAAGTACAACCTCAGGGACCACTAACGCAAAAGGCATAGTCTCTTGCATAATATCTCTTACATGTTTACCAAACTTAGGAGAAAATGCTAAATATAACAGTTAACCTAATAGCAAGTTAGAAAAAAGTGTGTGGGCCAATTAAAAAAACTCTGATTGTTAATGGTACCTTTTTAAAATATACATATATGTTTAGTTGTAGATGGACACAATACTTTTTTGTTGTTTAATTATTTTTATGTAGTACTTAGGATTGAGCCCAGTGCCTCACACATGCTAGACAAGGGCTCTACCACTGAGCTATAACCCCAGCCTTTGGCATCTTTTTTTTTTAGCAGAATAGCTAAGTTGTATTCCTCCAAATGAACTCAGATGAAATATTGCCCAAATCAAATGTTGAATATACCAAAGACAAAGCTTATGCAGTATTTATTGTATATGGTAAAAATTTGAAACATAAAATTCAAACTAACACCCCCCCCCAAAAAAAAAAAGATTAAGAATGGCATATACCCAAAGAAGCTGTTGAAAAAGTAGGGGGTTTAGCAATAATGTCAGAACAATTGATCTTTACAATATGAAACAAACGAAAGCAATGATAAGAAACAAAATGAGGAGGATATTTTCCCTCTACTAGACCAGAAAACTAGCCTAACAAAAATGCACTTCCACGTTTTGTTCTTTAAAACAATAGGAGTAGCTGGGCAAGGTGTGCTTGTAATCCCAGCTACCTGGAAGGCTAAGGCAAGAGGATCTCAAATTCCAGGCCAACCTGAGCAATTTAGTGAGACCTTGTTTTAAAAGAAAAAAGGGCTAGGACATACCTCAGTGATAGAAGGCTTGCTTAGCATGCATGAAGTCCTGGGTTCAATCCCTGGTACCACAATCAGTCACACACACACACACACACACACATACACACACACATACACACCCCTAATGAGCTAAATTTTCATCTTAAGGAATTAAAAAAAAAAAGCAAAATAGGCCAAGAGAAAGAAGAAAATACTAATTTTAAAATATAATAAAGAGGGTCTTCAGAAAAACTAAAAATAGATAAATCTTTATTAAGATTGATCAGGAAAACATGAGACAGGAATCTAATAATCATTACTGAGAATAAAAAGATATCACCAAAGATCTGGCAGACTTTAAAAATAAATAATAAAACAATAAAATGATATAAAAATAAATTATGGCAATAAGTATATAAATTTGGATGAACAAATTACTAGGAAAATATAACTCCCTAAATCTGACAAAATAAGTAAAATATAAATAAAAATAGTACTATAAATATTAAAGAAATTAAATCATTTATTTAAAATTTCCCCTATAGGAAATCCAATATCAAATGGCTTCATCATAAAATTACTTCAAATGTTAAAAAAGAAAAAAAAATCCCATCTTCCAATCTCTGAGAGGACAGAAAAACTAACTCATGTTATGAGGCTAACATAAAACCCAAAAGGGCACCTTGAGAGGA